CTATATTTGAAATTGGCAAATATTTGCATTTTACCAAGATTTTAATCCTAGGTGTACTCATGGGGCAAAAGAATCCCTTTTGGAAGAACCAATGGTAACAAAGTAAATTTTTGAAAATTGGAAAGATGGTATATTGCACAGTAATAGCACAAATGGAAAGCATCTTCGTGTCCTTCACAGTGGTGCTTGCTTTAGATGGAAGTTAACAGAGCACATTCTGCCTGTGAAAAACTTTAAGTCGCATGGGGGAACAGTTGCAAAAGAACAGGAATGGAGAAAAGCAGGATACGCAGGTGGATGCACAGATGGACAGACACATTCCATGGAAAGACAGCCAGACAGAAGCATGTTCCTCAGCTGGTTGGGATTTGGGGCAGTTTTTACTGGCTGCATAAGGTTGGGTGGTTACTGGGTTTTCATCTGCTCTTCCATGAGACTGTCCAGTGTTTGTAATCAGTACACAACAGCGAGACGCCGTCTTCAAAATGGACCCTGGAGGCACTCAGGATCCCTGTTCATGCCTCTCCAGGAAATGACCAGAGCCGAAAGCCTGGGCAAGTGTTGGTCAGGCTCTGGGCAGTCCTGCTGGTCGTGACTGGCATCTGCCCCATGTCCCCTAGATCCCAAAACTCCCGCCAGTGCCTTCCTCCCACCCCACCCTGCTCCATTGCTGCTCCAAGTGTGGGCGACCCTGTGGTTCCTTGCTCCTCTCAACGCATTGGGGCAGGTTAGTGGCTGTGGATGCCTAACCAAAGCAAAGTCATGGAAAACGCAGAATGACCAGCAGGACCCAACAGATGACACAGTATACAAGAAAGACAAGAAAGATAAGATCAGCAAGGGTCATCTGACAGCGCCTAAGAGACTTGACAGGCACCAGCTTACAGCAACACAAGATGGAACAGCCATTCTGGTTCCCACTGCAGGGATGGGCAAACTGAGGTCAGACAAACCATGGTCACCAGGTTAATGAGGACTTAAACACAGGTGCACATGGGGCTATACAAAGCACAAAAGGGATCCCAGAGTGGGGAGCTGCTCTGTCTCGACAAGCAGTGGGGTCAGCTCCCACATGGCTCTTGTGGCACTTAAGATGCAGTGGCCACCCCAGAGCATGCCAGCAAGACCTGTGACAAGGCTTGCGGACTGGCCTTCTTGCTCAGACTGTACATTTCAGAGATTCTTGCAGGTCTGGATTGCCCAGGACCTCCTGCACTGCTACCCTCAGACGGCCACTATGAAACCAGCTCTGAGTCCCTCCGGGCTGGCCACCGCAGCGGTGTCCAGTCCCTCACGGAGGACCTGATCATCCCAGGCTAACTGCAGAGGTGACATTTTCCTGAAGATGTCAGTAATAATGGATTTGTTTACCAACCTCATTTTATGTGTTTTTGAGAAAGCTGGTAGAGTGCGTGTGTGTGTGTGTGTGTGTGTGTGTGTGTGTGTGTGTGTCCAATAAATCCCACTAGGCAAAAAGAAATCTAACAAAACAATGAATCTAAAAATCACACAGAGAATTAAAAGAGATGGCCATGTTTCAGGGCCCTGGTTTGCCATGGATTTAATGGGAATAGAAGGTCCACAGACTGAGAGCCTCCGAATTCTGCTTTTTAGAGTCACGGAGTCAGGTGCTGGTGAGCACAGGTGCCCCCGCAGAGATGGAGGGAGTGAGGAGCAGGCACAGCTGCAAAGGGTGGCCTGGGTCCAAGAGTGGCTTGTGCTGGCCTGCTTGAGACAGGTGCCTCTCAGTCTACTCTCAGGCCAGCACCAAGGGATCAGGGGCTGCTGCGGGCTATGGCATTGCTGAAGCCCCTGGCTTCCCTTGTAGTTACAGGCCCACCTTTCCCAAGCCACAAGGAATGAAACTCATCAGATTCCACTAACACCGGTAGGAGAAGGAGAAAATGACATGTGTGGCTGTTCAGGCTACTGGTCACCTCCACCAAAACCCCCTCAAGAGACCAACTTCTGCTGCGACTCTTTGTTTCAACGACGTCCCTTCCCACACAACTGCAGATTTTCAACAAGTGCCTGCTATGGTCACAAGGAGGGGAAAAGCTCCACCCTGCTAATTTCATAAAGTCAGTTTCCCATCACTACACATTTCAGTTCTCATCCAACACTCCAACCTCTAGTTAGTGCAAAGAGAGCAACCCCTTTAAGCAAGCCATTGATACAGTAAGTGTCTGCTCTTGGTCCCTTCAAGCCTTGCTAGGAGTTTCACAGGTTCTGGCGGATGCTCCATGCACTTTCTCAACCATTTCCCCCTGCACACCCTCCATGCGAATCTCTCCAACTAGGAAAAGCCCTCACACCTGCTTCAAACACAAAGGAATTTAAAGCTCCAGACCTAGGGTTACAACCCGGGTTGCCTGGAGCCCTCAAGGGGGTCCAGAGAGAGAACTATATTCCCACTCCATTCTTTTACGCATTTAAAAATCTCATTCTGACTGGGTGAGATTTCCCTTTAAAAGTAAAGGGCATTAGAGAAAAAAGATCAGGAACCTTTTTAGGGGATACTGGATGGGAACTCATCACTGAAGTACAATCACGTTACAAGGATCTCAACAGATTTCCAGAGGTTTGAGTAGGGGCTGGGAAGCGCCTGTGGGTAGAATCAGAAGGCACAGAGGCCCAGGGAGGCACCCAAGCTGATCCGTGAAGTTCCTGCACCCAAAAACATCAGGCTTGGTGTTGACATGCCTTGTTCAGCTCTTAACCTCATCTTAAACTCCACAGACACTTAAACGAACACGCTCCCAGAAGCTCCTAAAATTCCATCATTTCTTCCAAAGGAAAACATTCTCTTCCCCAGATATACAATGCCAAAGGAACTTCGAGTTGAACAGGCTGGGCAAGAATATTTCAGCTTCCATTGTGTCTCTTGGAGTCTTGTTAAATAATCGAGGAAAAACCAAATCAACAATCCCACCCAGAAGCCCAAGTGCCAACGTCACAAATTCAGGTCATCTGAGACCTGCTTGCCTAATTGATTTTTTCTTAAGTAAAACAACATAAAAACCAGACTGCCTGAAGCCCGGTAATTGTCTGGGTGACAGACTAGTTCCTAATGCCACTGGACAGCCGTCATTTTCCCTGGACTCAGTGGAACCCCGCATTAATATAATTGAAATTATATTCAGCAAATTCAACATCTCTCTTTGCCTCTCCACAAACAAGGCTGCCAAATCTTCTCACTAGAGTTACTCGGAAAACAAACAGAAACGTGTCTTCAAGGGAATTTTCTGTGAAGATGGGCTTTGTTTTCACGGAGTTTTTAAGAGCCTGCTTGAAGCCATGTTGAGGGTTCACTCGAGATGTGCGCGACGCACACACAAGGGAATGAAATCAAAAGTTAGACCAACAAAATCCTAGACAAATATCAGGTATCTCATCAGTTCACTCAGAAAACCACACAATGTTCAAACTTAAATATATACAAATGATCCTACTGTCCAAAGGATGTTACGCTATTTCAAATCTTTTAACACACTGACGAGGAAGGAATACAGAAGCCCATACTCAGGCTAGTCAAGATTTACAAGGAATATTTGATTGGATTGTTACGAAACGCAAGCAAAAGGCAGAGAATTCAAACACAATAAGCCCTGGGGTATTAAAATCAAGTCATTTATATTCTCGTGGCTAAAACTAGAGCCTGTCAAACCTCCAAGGTGAAGGTTTCTTTCTACACTCGTTCTTACATTTCAACAGGTCTCAAACCCTGACGCTAGAAAAAAGAAATCTCTACGAGGGACAAACCTTTGGCATGTGATTTTTTTCAATATCTCCCTGATCACACCTTGAGAAATAAACATCGAACAGAATTCCGACAGCACAGTTTACCCGAGGCTTCTCCGTCAAGTCTCTTCCACAAACATTTCAAATAGCGAGAAGGATGCACCAAGGAGGATTTAGGGGAAACGCCTTAGAGCAATACAGGGCAAGCTTTCATTTTCCTGAGCTCTCCAAATAACTGAGATCCGTGATGGAAACACAACCAAACATCCCTCAACTTCAAGCAGTAAAATTGAAGTCAGGAGACGGGCACAAGGGCCTCTTTCCTCCTTCCAGCACCTGTTTCTCAGACTGATTTTAGTCCACTTCCTACAAACACACCCAGGCATGGTAGCCCTGAAACCGTTTTCACAAATCCACAGCCTCCCTCTCAAGCAGAGTATTTCCAAGAGTGAGACTGGGATCCGGCCCCCCACCTGTGAGGCCACAGCTCTTCGTTCATCTCTACGTGACACCCACTAAGAAATACTGGCAATAGCACACACCAGCCAAACCCCCCAGGAAAGACAGAACCTGCCAGCCACTGCTTTCCTCCCACCCAACCTCACCAGGAAGAAGTCTCACTCGGGGTTGAGCGGGTAGGTATTTTATTAACACCAACACGTAACGGCACAAACCAAATTTTACCCCTGCCGGAGTTATGAGAGTGTTCAGTCCTCAACATGGACGTCCCACGAGGCAAGCCGACAATTGCATGTCCCTTGACCAGCAGCCACCTGCCGAGGAAGATTCTTCGCATCCTGACCCTGGGGTCTGGCTGGCAGCTCCGCGGCTGGGAGTCACTGCTCAGCCGCCAAAGGTCCAACCTGGACAAGCCCACCTTTTCCTCTGCCCCTGCCCTCCAACTTCTGTGTGCCTCCATGGCCTGGCAGCCACACACATATAGGCACCGCTGAGGCTGGTTCAAGAATCGAAAAAAATCCAGAACGCGTTCTGCAGAGCCTTGGCCAAAGCAACCCACAGCACTCACCGGTAGATTTAGAAACCCCAATTTTTTTTCTGAGTTTGAAGTTTTTAAGCCCTGCGGATGGTTGGAGTAGGAAAAAGGAAATTTACTAGGCAGCGCAAAGGAAATCTTGTTGTCCTCTATTGTGGTGGGGGGGGTGTTGCCCAACCCTAACTTATCTGCCTTGATAAAGGAAACCAACGAAAAGCATATAAGAACAAGATTTTGTCAAACGAAAAAGGAACCCTCGCCTTACCTTAATAGTGCTGGCCATAATGCAATCGAGTTTATTGATCGTTAATAAATGTTAATAATAATTATTGCTTCTCTCTGACCAGAAAGTAGTTTTGATGAGGTTGCTAAGAGCGGATGAGATTGTGCTAAGTCTGGGAAATGAAGTCAGCCAATGGCAGGAAGAGGTTCCTATTGGTCCTGGCGGCCCAGCCCGAAGAAACAGGATATTTGGGAGTGGAAAGATAAGAGACCCTGAAAACAATGTTGTTTTTCTTGATGATATGCAGCCAGGAGGATTTTTTTTAATGTTAAAAAAAAAGTTATCCAATGCCTGGGACTGTGGCAGCAGGTGTGAGCGTGTGGCTCCCCGTGACTATGGCGTAGACACCCAGGCAGGATGCAGATGTGGGGGGACGGACTCTGCACAGCTTCCCAGGGGATCCAGGCAGGGCACCCTCTGGCCTGAGGAGCAGCTTCTCAGCCTACCCCTCACGCAGCAACAACAGAGGATGGGAGCTGTGTAGGTACAACTGACTTCACTTTACTCCACGACTGCGTTGAATTCTAGACAGCACCTGGCTGTTGTTTGATAAATGTGAACTCAACATCCAGGAAGAATGTTCTAGAACAGTTTCGTTTTCTCCATCCAACTAGATTGCTACTTGTTCCACAGGAAACAAGTTGAAAATGCAATGGCTCTAGAATTGAAGTAACATAAATAAATAATAAGCAAATAAACCAACCCATCAAAGACTTCAGATATTTATGCGAAATCCAAATAATTAAAAATCATGATCAAAGTTTTAGGATGCTGTGAGCCAGCCCTACTTTACCAAGCATCAATGCTGTGAACGACGCATCCTGATGGAGCTCTTGCTGACTGACTATGCCACATGAAGATCCCATTAAGCGTCTCCTAACCAAGCTGTGAGTTCAGGGCCACCAGCCTGTTTTCCACTCACAGGAAGTACAGCTCATACAAGGCCTGGACATTCCTTAGAGGAGTTCAGGCCCTTAATTACTCATTTGCAGGAAATTACTTGTTCTTTGTAAGAAACAACACTTTGCTTTGAATCGCACCACGCATAAGCTGGTCAAGAGGTGTGGTCTCCGACAGAGACCCTCGGAACACAATGAAACAGGCCCTGAGTCATGGGCCAGGCTGGGACTCCGAGGAGGACATCCAGGGAACCAGCTTCGTTCAGCCCTTGGGCCTGCACATGTCCAAGCTCTGTCTGTCCTGTCCTCCCCAGGATTCACACTCCCTCGTGTTAGGACAGGGGAAGGAGGAGAGCAGGAAGGGAAAACATCAAGGAGCAGACAAATGAGAATGGGAGGAAGAGGGTACGAGAACAAAGAATGGAATGGAATAAGAAGTGGAAGGAAAGGAAGAGGACAAAAAGGCAACAGCAGGGAGAGAGAAGGAAAGAGGAGAGTAGGGGAGATGGGAAAGAGAAAGAGAGAGGGAATGGGAGCCGGCGGAGAGAAAGGCAGCCACGCGATGACAAGGAGGGACCGAAGGGCGAGAGAAGACAGGGCAGGCACAGGAACAACAGAGAGTAAGAAATCCCCTTCTGGGGAAACTCAGACCCTACGTGTGGAGGGGATGTTGATTTCCGCTCTTTTCATCTCCAAACAATGCATACGATGGTAGGCTGATTAAAACTGTGCTTCCCTAAGATTTCAAAGTCCTCCGTTGTTTGCTCTGGGCAGCTTCCACTAGAACGCCTCGCCCCCCTCAGCTCTGAGGCCCCTGGCCTGGTGTTCTCACTCCAGAGTCCCAGAGGCCACTGGGAGCTGTAGCTGCTCCTGCCCACCAGGGACCACTACTCCAATGCTGACCCCAGGAAGAAGTGCTGTGCCTCCTTCTTCATGGGGGCGGGGCTGCTGTGCGCTCCCCACATGAACAACACACCCACCGTACTGACGGGTCCCTCACAAGCTCCTCTCTTTGTGCTGGGCTCGTGCCTCGTTCAGATATAACAGGGAACGGTCATTTTTCACGCTGTTTTGAAACTATTTCAAACTTACACAAAAGTTACAAGCTGTTACACAGAATTCCTGACACCATCCACCTGCTGATGCCAGCTGTGCCCACCACCACTTTCTATGATTGCCACTCTCTCTGCTTCACATACTTGCTGTATATTGTATGTGTGTAACACAATTGTTCTTTTAAAATGTTTTACTTGAGATTTATTTCTTTGCTTGCATACTTACAAAGTGAAAATCATACACTATCACTTGATCTGTTGACTAAAGATCCTGTCTGAACATTCCCTTATAACTGAATGTGAAAATAAATAAAAATATAAAGTTGGGAAGGCGCATGGAATAACAGTCAATCCTTTGCCTGCAATATCAACATCCCATATGGGTGCCTCTCACAGTCCCGGCTGTTCCATTTCCAGTCCAGCTCCCTGGTGATGGTCTGGGAACTCAGCAGGAAATGGTTCGAGGCCTTGGGTCCCTGTACCTGCATGAGAGTTTCAGAAGAAGCTTCTGGCTCCTGGCTTCAGACTGGCCCAGCTCTTTTGTAGCCATTTGCAGAGTGAACCAGTGGATAGAAGATATTCCCTTCCTGTGTACTCTCTGCAATTTTTTTAGATAGAAATGAGATAAATTCATTTAAACATCAAAGGCATCTACTAAGAAGTTAATCTGGAGATAACGAGTTGTGGGCTCTGTTACAAAATCTGATAGAGACAAGTGTGCTTCCTTTCTGAGGACCACGTGTTTGAATCCCATCACTCCTCCTGATCAGGACAGAATAACAGAAGTAAAGTATGATAATCATTAAATATTTAGTGTAAAGCTTCTGTAAAACCAAACAGAAATTCTGACCATCCATAGCATACGGCAGAGTGAGGCCTTACAATCTGGCAGTGTGAGGCCATTCCCCAAACATCGTCCTGGAGGGATTATCTGAAGACCCAGAAATCATTTTGTCTCTCTCTCACCTCTTCCTCAGTCTATGCTACTGAACACCTCCCACCCCATCCCAGATCGCCCCGCACCCTCTGAGGGGTGGCACCAGGCACACACGGGAAACTGCCTTAGGTCACTAGCTGATTCCATTCTGGGGAGTGTCCTGCCATGAGCCCATTAACACAGGATCGTCTGCACCTGTCACAGGAGTCCCAAAGAACACAGAGGGCCAGCAGAATCTGCCCCATCGCCCTGGACAAGCAGCATCTACTGGGGAAAAAAAAAAAAAACTCCCACAGCTTCCTTTTGCAATTATCCATCAGGGACCTGCTGCCTGGAAATCGCCAAAACCTTGTCTTTCATATTTTGCTTCAAGTAGAGCAAGAAGTGCCAAGCAAGAAGACCACACAGTTAAAGAAGCATTGCCACGTACATGACCTAAGACTATACCTCCACACTCCCATCGCATCTTTGTTCTACAGTCAACTTCCCCATGTAGCAGTGTGGACGAAGCTGAGGAGTCAACAGCTCTGAAAGTGCCAGGAGCATGGCAGAGTCACACCCCTTCCTTGGAGATACGTTAGAGGATCCACTTGGCACTTACTACCCGGTACTAAACATCCATACAACATCTATTTCAGCATCATCATCCAGAGCATCTCAAGACTCTGTCTCTCCCTCTCTCTAACCATGACCTTTAAATAAATACATTCGTTTTTTTTAAAAAAGACAAAGAGGCAAAAATGGAAATAACAGCAGGTTACACATCATAATTCTCCCAGTAAAAAACCTGCAATTTGTTTTCTCGCTTTTTCTTTGGTACACCTGTGTTTTCAATATATTTGCAATGCACACACATCACAGCTTACAGGTTTGGAAGTCATACGGAGCGTTCTAGATTTCTGTGGATCTCTGACATACTCATACTGGTTCTATTCACCATGCTGCACACAAATAATACCCCCAGTTGTCATGCCACTCAAGTGTGCATAACAAAATGCACCATCCTTTTCCAATAGTTACAGCAAGAGCAGCATAGTTCCTTTTGATTAGCTGTACTAAGGAAACCCAGGGGGCCCTCATGCGTTTAGTGTGGGCCACCTACTCGACATGAATCCAGCCCGTTACTAATGGTGTGTTGCCTCTGTGCTAGGAACTCTGGTAGGCATCCGCCACATCCCCATGATGGCATTCCATCCTGCCAACCGCTGTCTTAGCATTCAGGAAACTGCTGTCCATCTCCTCCAACCCCCCTCGCTCGGAAGTGGAGAGCTTGGAAGCGCCCCACGACACTCAGGCATTGCAAGGGCGAGACAATAGGACAAAAATGCTGCACATTGTTCCCGAGATGACACATGAATCTTAGAATGTATGATGTTTGGATTATTCATGAGAGCCCCGTGAGAAGGATGTCCCAAGCGATGTTGCCAGGGACAGGCCTGAGATTACAGATAAGAGTCCAGCGTCTACAGCTGCCCCTGCAGTGGAAAACTACAGCACCCGGTGGAACTTTTCCATTCACATCAATGGGAAGGTTGGCCTGGGGCCGTTGCTTCATTCACAGCACATCCACTCCATCCGGTAAAAGTGTGCATGCGAGTGTACGAATGTGTGCTGTTGTGTGGGTGTTTGTGTGTGTGTGAACACATGTTTATATGTGTCTACATTTATGTACATATTGTACACATTGTACATGTGTGTTACATGTTTGAGAATGTGTGAGTGCATGCATGCATATGTGTTTGGGTATTTTTGTATGTAGGTGTTTGTTTACATGTATGTACCCTTGCATGGTGGTGTGGTTGTATACAAATGCATGTTTCTCTGTGTGAATGTGTTTACATGCATGTGAATTTACGTGTGTGTGAACATGATACCATGTGTTTGCATGTGCTAATGTCTGTGTGTGTCTGAGTGTGTCTACACGTGTGAATGTACACACATCCATGCACTTGCATGTGTGTGACTGTGACTGCATTAACATGTGCAAATGAACATCTACATATGTGCATGTGTTTATCTGTGTTTGAGTGTGCTCATCTATATGCAAACATGTACATTTTCAGGTGTTTGTGTGAAGGTGTGTGTTTACCCTCAAGTGACACGCTAAGAAATAATCCAGTGGTGACTTGAACAGCCATAGTTTCAACACTTTCTTGGAGGGGATTTTGTAGCCTACAACCCTTTGGTGGACTTGAATTCATCTGAGCCAAGGAAACTGTTATC